AGGAGGAGGAGGAGGAGGAGGAGGAGGAGGAGGAGGAGGAATTTTGAGAAGTTACACAGTTAGAGCATAACATCACCAAGATGTGAAAAAGCCGTGATCTTAAAATCAAACCAGCTTATAACTGATTATATTAATTATTAAAATGTTCCTCCCTGAATTCACACCAGCACATTGACTCTCCATCGAATTCAAACCTGCACAATGACCTACTTTTTCATCGAATTCAGACCAGCAAAATAACCTACTGTCTTCATCTTCGCTGTGCTCCAGATCAATCTCCGGCAAGATGTTGCCTACATTTCCGGGGCTGGGAGTGGGCGCTTGGCTCCCAACTGGTCCCTCCGCCAGACCCGACTGGTCAGAGGCGTGGCTTAGCCTCCTGTCTTTCACCAAGCTGGGGGTGTGTCTGTGGGAGCTCACGCGAGACAGTCTGCCTGCCAGGTGCGTGGAGGAGGCGTGTCGTGAGGTGGGGCGTCGACTCGTCGGTCGGCTGAAGTGGTCAGCGGCAACCGTGTCCTGTGTTGGGGGAGATAGATTAATTGAGGTGGGTTGTCTCTTTCTTTGTGGGCGAGTTGATTATCTGATAGACTCTGCCTCTATCTATCTATCTATCTATCTATCTATCTATCTATCTATCTATCTATCTATCTATCTATCTATCCATCTTTCTATCTATCAGCCAATTACTCACACGTATGTCCTTTCAATCTGTCTACTTATTTATCAGATTACTTGCTTTTCTATCTTACTGTATTCTATCTAATCTATTTTTCAAATTGCCCGTTTGTATTTTCCTAGCTATCTAGTTTATTTTCTAGTTGTTCCCCCTCACGGGCATTCGTTAACACAATGTTTCGTTAATTACGCTTTTAACACAGTGCCAGGGCTAAGATTCAAATCTGGCTACTGTCACACACTTTATTGTTGTTCTTCGTGTTGAAACTGAATAAGGCCCCACTAAAAAAATGAATAGCAAAGCCGCTTCTGCCGCAGAAGAAAGGAGGAAAGTATGAAGAGAACAGCTGAAAAAAAAAAACTGACCCAAAGAAAAATAAACAGATAGAGTAGAGAGAAGGGGAAATGTAAAATTGAAAGACAAATAAGAAAAATGACCCCCAACCCCATTGAAAGGTAGAAGAAAATAACTACCAGAAGTGAGATACTGTAATAATTGTATTTTTATTGATTTATTTATCATTTAACGTGGCTATCCTCACCGGTCGAATGATGTCCGGAGTTGGAGGCGGCTCAGAATCTGTTCCCATGTTCTACCCGTGTTACTGGGGGCTTACCGGGCACTGAAAAGAACAGCACATTGGAGAATGAATTGTTTGTTTGCTCACTCACGCTTTCGTTTCACTCTGTTTTAAAGTTCTGCTTTGTTAAATTATTGCTTTTTCACCCGTTATTGTTTTGGTGTTTCAATATTGCTGTTGTACTGTTGTTGTTGTTGTTGTTGCTGCTGCTGCTGCTGCTGCTGCTGCTGCTGTTGTTGTTGTTATTGTTATTGTTGTTTATTGTTTTTCTTGTTTGATTATAAAAGGAAAAGTAGATTAAAATGAATATTTAGATAAGAATGGAGCAAGACGTATTAGGAACTTCTAGGTTTGGTTCAGTTCCCGTTTAGTCCAAACTGTGTGACTTGGGTTGCGGCAATAAGTGATGTAGTTGAGGGAAAGAACAACGTGGAATGGAACAGAAACGATCAACTGTTTCGAAGCAACCACTAAAATTTAAATAGTTGCCTTGGGAAGTCACAACCACGACATTGAAAATAGCATTCATTGTTTCGAGCACAATGCAGCTTTACTAGACATGCTAAAGGGAATTATATTACTGCACATAACCCAAAGAGAACCCCCCCCCCCCCCCCAACTCCTAAAAGGTAAAAGGGAACGAACATACTATGAAATAGCTAATGATAGGAGCCAGACACAAGAAAGAACAAACAAAAAAACGCCCCAAAGTTTGTTAAGCAATGAATGAAATCTTTAGGTTTCACATTCACTTTTATTTAGTTATTTGCTGTTGTCCTGGGTTTTTGTTGTTGTCTTTTAAAATAGTTTTCAAGTGAATAAAATCAACTTTTTCTTCTTGCAGCTTTATTTGAGCAAATATAAAAAAATCAAATCTGCTCCCAAATAGAACAGAGGTGTGACAGCCCACACGTACAAGAATTGTTAACATGTTTATTTCAAATCCCATGGATTATTAAATTATAATAATATTTTTCAAGTAAAGGGGGACATATCGACACAATACTGGCCAGTTAGATTCGGTTTTAAAAAAAGTAAGACAAACAGATAGACAGAAATAACAGAGAGGGGGAAAAGAAGCAGCAGGGCATTATTAAATTATTAATGTTATGTTGTTATCGATCCAGATTAAATTATTAATATCTATATTAATTGTAGCTGTTCGCAAAGATTCATGACTTTAGAAAAAGGGAGGAGGATTAAGCTAGAGGAAACATAACTTTAATTGTGCACTAATTTAGTGGTTTTGGTAAAATTAGGAAAAAGGCAGGAGTATAAGCTAGAGGAAACGCCACAAATTGTTCAATTAATTACATGTAATTTTGGTAGCTTACGTTGATGCATAATAATATATGCATATCACTGGAACTTCAAATTTGCTCAAAGGAAAGAGTACAAACAAAACTAAAAATGAAAACAATAGCCTACCAAAATGTCAAAGTTCCAGAGAGGCGCTTGCTTACCTCAGGGGAGAATTCTTCACCGTCATAACCAGTGCCCGCTGTACGATATCCCAGTTGTGTCTGTTTATGTAAGACTTAAGCTCTCTTCATGACTGGGTACATCTGCTACAGGTCCTCTATAAGGCTGGTGAGAAAGCTAAAGTGCTTCGCACTGACCATTAAAGAGAGTTTTGGGTCTTAATGTAACCAGAATGAAGTAATTCGACGGGACTGCTGGTCTGTGAGGGAGATCGACGGAGCGGAGGAAATCTCTCTCATGTATGTACGACAGGCAAGTAGGGGGTAGGGGGAACCGAGTTGTTAGAAAGGAAGGGGAGGGGGTATAAAGGGTTGGGAAAGGGGTGGGTGAGGTCGGGTGGTGCGCTGACCTGAAATGAGCTGAAGAGGAAACATTCTGGCGGAGACAAAGGGGAAGGAAGAGGGGTTAGGGTGGACGGGGCTGTGAGATACTATTATAGATGATTCAGTACAGGCTCATTGAACCAGAAGATAGAGGTTAATATTTTTATAAAAGTTGTGTACGTGAGCGTGTACGCAGGTGAGTGAATGAGTGTGCGTGTGTGTGTGTGTGTGTGTGTGTGTGTGTGTGTGTGTGTGTGTGTGTGTGTGTGTGTGTGTGTGTGTGTTTGAAAAGAGATATTAAACCATATTGAACAGTTTGGACAAAAGCATTTCTGATGGACTGGGCCAGCCAAAATTGGAGTGATTATTTATCATCCAAGTTGAGCAGACTTTGCTTATAAGACTTAGAGAGAGAGAGAGAGAGAGAGAGAGAGA